ATATCCCACACATACGCCTGGGCCACGACAACACAACACACATTAAAGCCAACCTGAGAGTTCATGACACAGCACACCCCTCAACAATTCTACCACTGTACATAGTTATTTTTTTTATTTTTTTATTTTACTGCTTGCCAACACAAAAGAAAAACTCTGGCGGCAACGCACCCAAAGTGCACAGTATGTGACCGACGCCTGTACTAACTATGCTACTCTGTATTCTGTACTACATACAAACAAAACTTGTACAGTCATTTATCCACCTATGTCTGCACTATTGTAACAATGCTTGACTGTCAGAGCGAAAAATAAAGAATAAAAAAAAAAAAAAATAGGAGAGACTTCCAGGATGAATCCTAGTATCACTAGATGTCTCAAGAGCTCCCCCACAGAGTTCTATCCTATGATCGCTCTGATCTGAGTGTCCAACCTGGCCAAGTATCACTCAGATCCGTTCGGCAGAGTTGGGGTAAAGTTTTGACCGGCTGGACACGAGCTGATGGCCCAAAACAGTTCAAGGGAAATAGGTGTCCTGGCTGGTCTTTGTTCATGGGTTCCTGTGTGAAAACTATAAAAGGGATTCTCCTGATTTCAGGTAGCGAATGCTACACCCAGTGGGTAGTTCCCATCTCCCGAATGTCGTTCACATAGCTGGTCAGGAAGTAGGAAGGGTAGCGGAATAATCTTTACCGGAGTTCATGCAAGTGCCTAGGTGGAAAGATTTCCAGGCACTAGACAACCAAGTACCGCTGCCAACGTTCTGGAGACAAAATGGCCGTCATTCTTTTGCCGACCACGTGTATTCAGTTAAATGAAACGGCGGCCACCCATTCATTACTTTCCTTGCAGTTTTGCACTTAAGTTGCTGGTGTGAACATTCTAATGGGGTACAGGGGTGGTCCTTGTTTGGGATTCGAATACGGAGTGTTTGGATAACCTAACTACTGAATGTATAAAAAGTAAAATCCATGAAAGCAACGGTATGTTCCGCCACACTACCCAATCTGGTCCAATGACATAGAAGAGCTACTGTAGCTCAAAAATTGCTGAAAAACTTAATGCTTGCTATGATAGAAAGGCGTCACAACAAATGTGGGGGAGCAAATATGCCTTTATTTAATTATTCATAAATAATAATAAAAAGATAATAAACATTCTATCCCCCTCAGTTCTTCACTTTGCTCAGGCAGGAGGGCCTTGCCTGCAAGCCCTTGTGATCCGGTGGTGATGGAATTATAGCCTGCAGTTCCTCCAGCTAGAGTTCAGTCCTCTCACGAGATTCGGCCTTGGAGTGTTGCCATGGTGACTGTGGAAACACTCTGACCTTGTGAGAGGAAGAACCAGGCAGAGTTGCTGGCTAGAGCCCCCTGGACCTCTCCCATCTTCTTCCTCTGACAGCTCCTGCAGTGAAGTGCCTGTGGGCCAATGAGGGAGATTTTTGATCTCCCTACCTGTCCATCATGGCACACAGCAGGGCCTGCGCTTGGACAGTGCCTGCTCTGCATGAGCCAGCAGGGAAGATCCTCTGATCACTGCCCACTGGGCATTTGTTTGGTTTGCCGGATGGCTGATACCAGTCAACCACAGCAGCTCCCTTGGCATCAATGCCCCTTAATGCCAGGCTAAAGAAGATGGCGGCGGCTGGGAAGAAGAACCACTGCAGAAATAAAAATGAAATAGGGAAAATGGAAGACTGGATTCCAAAGAAATATATATATATATATATATACACATTGATGCCACATGGAGGTGGGGGTGTGGAGGGAGGGAAACATTTTTATACAGGGCATCTTTAAAAAGATCTCTTATACGACATTAACAATTTCAGGACAGATAAGGAAACATTAGCAGTAACAAAAACAGAAGTATATGGGCAGTAAGCAATAACAGTTAAACAAAAACATAAGAAAACCAACAAGATCGTTCTGTCCAGAGTTATATTCTAGTATTGCTACGAAATCATAAACAAAAACACGCCTTTCTGTGCCCCTACAATGACACCAGAGACGGCCATGAACTTTAACACCTTGATTATCTACATGGAGTATGTGGCGGACCGACACTTAGGTACATGCTGTGCATTTTGTTGCGTCTTTGGTGGACCCTTGTGTTTCATAGTTTCAGGATGTCTGGCACAGCCAAGGTGAGCTGTAGTTGGTTACAATTAGGATACATTGTTAAGCGGAATTGAAGCAAGTTTTAAGCATCTGCAGCTGCCAGCTGAAGAGTGTGAAATTGTCACAAAATAACCAAGTGGAAACGAAGGTCGTTTCTGATTTACGTGAGAGTCCCTGAAGATAGACTAATTGTCAGTTAGAGCCCCAGCTGTTCAATGAGAAAGTATTCCAGAACTTGCAAAGGTGAATCGATCAGTGGGGATACAGGCACTGATAGTTCACTTTAACGGATACAGTTTGTATAATAGGTGAGTATTTTGTTTATAAGATATATATGTATATATAAATAAAAATTTTACCAGGAAGCATACATTGAGATTTCTCTCGTTTTCAAGTATGTCCTGGGCCCTCTAACAGTGCATATATAGTATATATGCAGGGCCAGATTAACAGCCCAGTGGGCCTGGTGCTGACAATTATGACAGGCTTAATTAAAGAATCATATCGACCAAAAACACTAAAACACTCCCAAGCGTCATGTATCTGATGGAGATGGTGCTGGAGAGAAAGAAAACAGCAGCTATAAGAAACACATACCCTATGCTAATCTCCCTCTAACTTGTGTTTTCATCTTTCAAGTAAATCCATAACCCCGAACAGCAGTGTCCAGACAAGCAGGAAGTCAATGGGCACGGTAAAAGGGTGTGCCACTGACACAAATCACGTAACCTGCCAAAAGGGGCAAACATGCCCAAAAAGAGGACGTCTGCCCAAAGAATTTGAAGGCAAGCCTGGCATGAATGCATGTCAGGCTGCCTGCCAATCATGCAGCTGGCCAACTAATCAGCACCCTGAGCTTGGCATAAATGCATCTAATGATGCGCTCGCTCAATGCTTTCTAAAGCACTGTCCCCTAGCACTCTCTGGTCCACTTGTCTCCTTACCTTCTTACTAGCAGGCAGACGCTCCTGGTATATAGTCTGGGACAGAGAAAATCTGTGTGTAGTGAGTGTAGAAGAAAGGGAACATGCCACAGAGACCAAAGTCAGCATTACCTTGAAGGATCACTATAGGGTCAGGAACACAAACATGAATTCCTGACCCTATAGTGTTAACACCACCATCTAACTCCCCTGGGCCCCTCATGCCTTCATAAATATAGTAAAAATCTTACTGTATTCAAGCCTGAAGCTGTAACTCTGCATGCTGTTAGACTCAGAAAAACAAGCAGTGTCTGCATGCAGAGAGAGGAGACACTGAATGTTTGGATGCATTTTAGGCAGCCATGACCCAGGAAGGATCTCTAACAGCCATCCAAGGAGTGGCCAGTGAAGTTATCACTAGGCTGTAATGTAAAGACTGTATTTTCTCTGAAAAGACAGTGTTTACAGCAAAAAGCCTGAAGGTAATGATTCTACTAACCAGAACAAATTCAATAAGCTGTAGTTGTTCTGGTGACTCTAGTGTCCCTTTAACTATATTCATTGTCAGCCAGTCCACACAAGTTTTGTTCCCATACATCCCTCTTAAGTTTCCATACTTAAGTAAGAGTATGTGAAAAGTAGTTAGGGTTGCCACCTTTCTTGGAAAAACATACCGGCCTTACTTATTTGCATAATTAAATATGTATGGGTGACATCACATGATGTAAATCACAAGGAGTGACATAAGAGAAAATGCTGTAAAATCACCAAAAAACTACTTAGTTTGATTATGCTGTATAGATGGATTCCTCCCAGTGCCCCCATGTTTCCCAGTGCCCCCATGTGTTGATTACTCCAGGTCTCAGCGTTCCTATGTATCAGTCTCTCAGTGCCCCATGTCTCCCAGTGTCCCCTAGTGTCGTGTCCCCAGGTCTCCCAGTGACCCTATGTATCACAGTGTCTCAATGCCCAAAGTCTCCATGTGTCCTCCAGTATTCCCATGTGTCTATGTCCCCATGTATGTGCCACTAGGACACTAGGAAGACGGGGAGACCTAGGGACACAGAGACACCATTGACACTGGGAAACTAGGGGACACTGGCTGGGACACATGGGGACACTGGGAAAATAGGGGACACTTGAAGACATGGGGACACAGACACTAGAGACACTGGCTGGGGGACACGGGGACATTGAGACATGGGGACACTGAGACACCACAGCCACAGACACTAGGGACACTAGCTTGGAGACATGGGTCATTGAGACACTTGAGGCACTAGGAGACATGGGGACAATGAGACACTGGGAGACTAGGGGTCACTGGGAGACTAGGGGGCACTGAGACACCAGGGACACTGTGTCCCCATGTGTCTGTGTCATAATGTCTCCCAATGTCCCTTAGTGTCTCAGTGTCTGCCATAATGTATCCCAGTGTCCCTTAGTGTCTCAGTGTCTGTCATAATGTCTCCCAATGTCCCTTAGTGTCTCAGTGTCCCCATGTCTCCTTGCAGCCTTTCCCCCATCCCTCACTTCCCTGAGCTGTAGGCTGTCTCTGCAGGGTGGGAGTTGCTGTCTGGACTCTCTGTAGCTGCATCCCTGCAGATCAGTGAGTATAGATAGGCAGGGAGGGATATGCTGGAACTTCCTATCCCTGCATGTCTCCACACACAGCGACCCCTACTGGCCAGTGCTGGTATTGCATAGTCATCTCTTGTTAATAGTGAGAAAAATACCAGCATTTGTATTGCCAGCAGGGCCGGACTGGGAAGAAAATTCGGCCCGGGCATTTTTTAATTACAGCAGCCCACTAAAAAGGGGGCGGGGCCAGATAGGGTGTGTTTTGTCATCACCAATGACAAGCACGCCCCATCACAAAGTGAGTATGTTGGTTCAATGCTCTTCCAGGGTAGACCATGCGCAGAGCTCTGCTGAAGAGCTCTGGCATAAGAAAAATACCCTGTATTTGTTCTGCACAGCGCAAGCAAATTTAATAACATGCTTGCACTGTGTTTGCTTGAAATTTGTCTCTGGTGTCTCCATAGTTGGGATACCAGGAGACAAAAATGCCAGGAAAGCATATTGTGCAGTGTGTGTGAGGGTGCTCTGTGTGTGTGTGTGTGTGTAAGGGGTGTAGTGTGTGTGAGAGAGGGGTGCAGTGTGTGTGTGAGTGATGGGTGCTGCGTTTGCGTGAGGGTGCTATGTGGGTAAGGGTGCTGTGTGTGTGATGGGTGCAGTGTGTGTGTGCTGTGTGTGAGTGGGTGCTGTGTTTGCATGAGGGTGCTATGTGCATGTAAGGAAGCTGTGTGTGAGGGTGCAGTGTATGCATGTGAGGAAGCTGTGAGTGTCAAGGGTGCAGTGTGTGTAAGTGAGGGTGTGTGATGTGCGTGTCAGGGGTGCAGTGTGTGTGAGGGTGCTGTGAGTGTCAGGGGTGCAGTGTGTGTGCTGTGCGTGTCAGGGGTGCAGTGTGTGTGTGAGGGTGCTGTGAGTGTCAGGGGTGCAGTGTGTGTGTGCTGTGCGTGTCAGGGGTGCAATGTGTGTGTGTGAGGGTGCTGTGAGTGTTAGGGGTGCATTTTGTGTGTGCTGTGAGTGTCAGACGTGTAGTGTGTGAGTGTCAGGGGTGCAGTGCGTGTCAGGGGTGCAGTGTGTGTGTGAGGGTGCTGTGAGTGTCAAGGGTGCAGTCTGTGTGCTGTGAGTGTCAGGTGTGCAGTGTGTGTGTGAGGGTGCTGTGAGTGTCAGGGGTGCTGTGTGTGTGCTGTGTGTGTCAGGGGTGCAGTGTGTGTGTGTGAGGGTGCTGTGAGTGTCAGAGGTGCATTTTGTTTGTGCTGTGTCAGACGTGCAGTGTGTGTGAGGGTGCTGAGAGTGTCAGGGGTGCAGTGTGTGTCAGGGGTGCAGTGTGTGTGTGTGAGGGTGCTCTGAGTGTTAGGGGTGCATTTTGTTTGTGCTGTATCAGATGTGCAGTGTGTGTGTGAGGGTGCTGTGCGTGTCAGGGGCGCAGTGTGCGTGTGTGTGTGAGGGTGCTGTGAGTGTCAGACGTGCAGTGTGTGTGCTGTGAGGGTCAGACGTGCAGTGTGTGTGTGAGGGTGCTGTGAGGGTCAGACGTGCAGTGTGTGTGCTGTGAGGGTCAGATGTGCAGTGTGTGTGTGAGGGTGCTGTGCGTGTCAGGGGTGCAGTGTGTGAGGGTGCTGTGCGTGTCAGGGGTGCAGTGTGTGAGGGTGCTGTGCGTGTCAGGGGTGCAGTATGTGTGAGTGTCAGGGGTGCAGTGTGTGTGAGTGTCAGGGGTGCAGTGTGTGTGTGAGTGTGAGTGTCAGGGGTGCAGTGTGTGTGTGAGTGTGAGTGTCAGGGGTGCAGTGTGTGAGTGTGAGTGTCAGGGGTGCAGTGTGTGTGTGAGTGTGAGTGTCAGGGGTGCAGTGTGTGTGTGTGAGTGAGGGTGCTGGGAGTGTTATGTGCCCTGCTGATATCCCCCCTCCCTGCTTACCTTATGCCTGGGAGGGGGGATCCTGCTACTCCTGCTGCCATCCCTGGTGGTCCAAGTGGTGAGTGAACTCTAGCCTGTTGGGCTAGAGTTCACTCTCGCGAGATCCGACCGTTGCCATGGCAACGCTCCGAATCTCACGAGAGGAACCCGGCGGAGCTGTAAGTTAAAGCTCCGCCGGGTTCCTCTGCTGGCAGGCTGGCTCCCTCCCTATCTCCCCCGGCGGCCGCAGTATTCTCTATGTGGGCCGGCGAGGGAGATCTCTGATCTACCCACCGGCCCGCTGTAGACTACTGCAGGGCCAGCGTTCAGATAGCGCCGGCCCTGCAAAGACCCTGTGATCTCCCTGCTGGCCTCGGCCCCACGGCCACCGTGGCCCACCGGGCCTTTGCCCGGTGTGCCCGATGGCCAGTCCGGGCCTGATTGCCAGTATCACTACAATATTGGCACCAGCCAGGCAGCCTCAAATACTGGCTGTGCCAATAAAATAAAAGCCAGGTGGAATCCCTAAGAGTAGTGTGTAAAAAAAAAATATATATATATAAAAAAAATTATTTTTTTTACATCAATGGGCCTATTCCATGGGCCTGGGCCTGGGCCTGGAGCTGCAGCTCCATCAGCCCCTATGTTAATCTGGCCCTGTATATATGCATAGACACACATATCCCTATATACAATACAAGGCTTAAATTTAAAAAAATACAAATCTACTCGCCGGGTTTGAATTCTCATTAGCTAATGTCTAGCAGTACTCTTGAGCCTGGAGATGACAACCACAGCTTATCGTATATGCCAGGTCCGATATAGGCTCAGAATTCTCACGTGTCATACCCCTGCCCAAAAATACATAGATAAACTCAGGATTTAAAAAACAAAACAAAACAATTTATGTCAGTAAGCATATCTCTCCCTTCACAAATAAAAGATGCAATAAAACACATAGCAAACTGAAAAGGTATATTTAGAAATTGAGGAACCCACACCCCAAACGGAGGAGTATAAAGTATTATTTGCAGAGAAAATGTGATAAAGGTGGAGTTTAGAAGATTTTTTTTAAAACCTTGAATTAAAAAAAATCATTTGTGTAAATTACCTGAACCTACAGAGTTGCTTCAATTATCTTGTGTCAATGGCTTGATTTACACTTTTCATCAGCTAGTTATGGACTAATCTCCAGGGAAGTACTTTTCATGTACTGTCCATCGGTGTGAACACATGGTAGATCTACCAACACTTGTGAAATATGTAGATGTTTACATCTCAACTTGGCACTTTTGGCATGAGATTTGCAAGTGGATTTTCACAAATTCACATTTAAGCGAATAAGCCTTTCAATATGCATTGATTACACAGCAGATCTACCGGCTTACCATAAGGCTATTGATGTGCCAATTAAGAATCAAAGAAGCTTTTATTGCAACGGAGCAGAGGTGAAGTTTTACTATATACATTATAAATGACTTTTAGCATTTTCCTCAATAGCCTTAAAATGAAGACTCTGAAGTTCACGAGTGGTGAACACAATCACTGTATAAATTGATTAGAAGAGGCATTGCCAGTGGCCTCTGCGGGATGCTGTACAAGGACTGATTTAAACCTATGCCCTTGACGTAATCATTATTTGATGCCCTGACTTTTCCGGTCACCCAGCTCCTACTGAGTTTCTTATTAATAATGCAAAGACTGGTTTATTTTCTCTGCAAGCCTGGTCAGTGGATAAGATTCCTACATTGACGTCACTCGTGTTAATAATACCCTCATCGCTTGTAATCACCTGAATATGGATAGGAGATGGAAATCGTGAAGTCTGCAAAGCGTAACGTACAACAATCCTTTAATAAACTCGCTGCACACCCTTTCAGTGCCAGACGGTTGGTTGTTCTGTAAAACAGATCTTTACTAGCGCTGCAAAAAACACAGCGGTGTCCTACTGTGGGATTTGAGTTACATACTATAGAACAGAAATAATAAACTAGCTAGGCTGGCAGAGGATCAAGGCAGATGTAGTTATTCGACAATGAAGAATATCTTCTGTTAGCTAGCCCTTCCGTTCATCACAGATCAAATTAAACAAAGGACGAAAATTGAATAAGCATGTATAAGCCGAATTAGCTTCTTGCAAGAATGAAGAAAAGGAGTTGAGCCAATAATGGAAGCTAAAAATGCACCCGGCAGTTCAGTAAAACTATTAGTTTCTATTCCAATTTCAGAATGGAAACCAGGAGAACACAAAAAAATAAATAAATAGAAAACCAAAAATATAACATTATTATAAATGGCAACAAGCTATGCATCCAAAGTTCATTAGAAGAGAAAAACACATTACTTTTAGAACTATGTTGGTCTAAAGTTTGCACTTAACCTCAGAATTTTATATTCATTCACCTGTTCTAAAGCTCAGTACACTCTTTAGTACGTACATTATTTTTCATTTGCACATCAATTTTATAGAAGTGGGGATAAAAAGGGATTACACAAGGTTATAACACATTATCAAAAATTAAGTAATAAAAAGATCAAATATACTGTAAAACCCATTCACACAAAAAATGTCTGTAGTAGGGATCGACGCTATTGATTTTTTTTGAGCAGATACCAATAATCTGTGAACTTTCAGGCCAATAGCCTACTGCTATTCTATACATTTACCATTTAAAAAAAAACAAAAAAAAACTATTTCTACACAAATCTACTGTTAACTGAACATGTTTATTATTATTTTTTTTGCTAATTTTTTTTTATTAAGATAAATGCATAAAATATACATGCCAATCAGATTTTTTATGTTTTCAAGAATATATGTGTGTGTAGTGGATGCAGTGAGAGTATTTGCTTAGTAAATGCAGTGTGTGTGTGTGTTTGTGTAGTGGATGCAGTGTATGTGTGTGTTTGTGTAGGGGATGCAGTGGATGTGTATAGTTGATGCAGAGTGTGTGCATAGTGAATAGTGTGTGTTTGTGTAGTGTGTACATAATGAATGCAGAGTGAGTGTGTTCGTGTGTGTATAGTGAATGCAGTGTGTATGTAGTGTGTGTATAGTGTATGGTGAATGCAGTGTGTATGTAGTGTGTGTATAGTGAATGCAGTGTGTATAGTGAATGCGGTGTGTAGTGTGTATAGTGAATGTAGTGTATATAGTGAATGCAGTGTGTGTGTGTAGTGTGTATAGTGAATGTAGTGTATATAGTGAATGCAGTGTGTATGTAGTGTGTATAGTGAATGCAGTGTGTATGTAGTGTGTGTATAGTGTGTGTATGGTGAATGCAGTGTGTATGTAGTGTGTGTATAGTGAATGCAGTGTGTATAGTGAATGCGGTGTGTAGTGTGTATAGTGAATGTAGTGTGTATAGTGAATGCAGTGTGTGTGTAGTATGTGTATAGTGAATGCAGTGTGTGTGTAGTGTGTATAGTGAATATAGTGTGTGTATGTAGTGTGTATAGTGAATGTAGTGTGTGTATTTAGTGTGTATAGTGAATGCAGTGTGTGTAGGTAGTGTGTATAGTGAATGCAGTGTGTAGAGTGTGTATAATGAATGCAGATTGTGTGTGTTCATGCAGTGAATGTTTGTGTAATGAGTGTTTGTGTAGGTATGTAATGTGTGTAAAATGGGGGGGGGGGCATTTTAATTTTCTTGTAACTTTTTTCTTTAATATTTTTTTTTTTTTTAAATGTTGTTCTAGTTCCCCCTCCCTGCTTCTTACCTGGCCAGGGAGGGGATATGGCATTCCCTGGGGGCCCAGCACACTCTTACTTACCTTCCCAGCAGCTCCCTTCCGCTCCCGTTTCTAACTCTTGCGGCCTGCGTGCCGTGAGGAGCGTTGCCATATTAACCCATGGCAACGCTCTGACAGTCGCGAGACTCTGATGGAGAGTTGAAGGAAGATGCTGGGAAGGTAAGTAAGAGTGTGCTGGGCCCCCCAGGACCGTGATGGTGGCCCTGGTCTGCAATATCGGTAATATCAGTATCTATTCTCAGATACCAATATTGCTGAAAATACAGAATATCGTCCAGACCGATAATCGGTCGATCCCTAGTCTGTAGATGCGTAGTGTCTACATACTGCAA